GAAAAAAGGGTGGAGAATCATAGAAAATACAGAAACCACAGAAAGCCAAAATAAGAGAGCAGAAATAATCCATATATATATCAGCTGTCACAATATATGTAATTAGACAGAATCTGTCAGCAAGGCTTGCCAGAAATTATCAGACTAGACGGAAGTCTGTCTTTGTGCAGTTTGAAGAAGAAACTCATGAAATACAAGAGCATAGGATGCAAGTAAAAAAGGGAAAAAGGATCAAATCACAAAACCTTCACCAAAGGAAAGATATACCATGCAAACTCTAACCAACATAAAAATAATAATATTAGTATTAGTTAAAAGAGCAGATTGCTCTCTTCTTCCTTGTACCAGAACTTTCAGAGTCTGACTGGTCACCCAGCTAACCACATTTTCTAGCCTCTCTTGAAGAAGGTTGTAGTCATGTGTTTAAGTTAAGGCAAAACTTTTCTTAATTCTCTCTCCCCTCTTCCATTTGGGCTGGAAAAGGCATCTGCCGCAGGAGACTTGTCACCCATGCTGTCTGACAATAGCAGTTAATCACAGAACAGAGCGGTCTACCAACCCTAAACTGTACATTTACCTTTGAATTCTTATATGCAAGAGAAATGAACTTTTTAAAAAATTTTATTTATTTATTTGACAGAGCACAAGCACGGGGAACAGCAGACAGGCAGGGGGAGAAGCAGGCTTCCCGCGAAGCAGGAGCCCAACGTGGGGCTCGATCTCAGAACCCTGGGATCATGACCTGAGCTGAAGGCAGACTCTTAATCGACAGAGCCACCCAGGCGTCCTATGAAATAAACTTTTTAAGCTACTGTGTTCTGGATGTCTCTATTATAGCATTTTAGCAGGTACCTTAAGTATCTCATATGCTTTAGGGTAAAAAGAATTATTATTATGGTCACTTCATCAAAAACAAATTCTGGGGGTGCCTCGCTGGCTCAGGTGGTAGAGCATGTGACCTCAGGGTCATGAGTTCAAGGCCTACACTGGGCATGGAGCTTACTTTAAAATAAATAAATAAATTAATTAATTAATTAATTAAAAGAAAAAACAAAAAACCCCACATAAATTCTGGATTTGTGTGCACCACATAATATGACTTCAAAATAAGTAAAATAAAAATTGATAATTATAAGGACTGTGCTCTTGTAGATCAAGACATAAATATGAAAAGGTAAATTCTAATACTTTTAGAAGATTTTAAAAATATTTTTAAGAGAGGTAGGAAAGAATTTCCTACACAAGGCAGAAGAAAGCACAAACCTGAAAGGAAAATATTGATAATTTTTACCCTATTGGAATTACCTTACATTGATTTCATGAATAAAAACTCGTTATCAGAAGATGTTATTTAAAATGAATTTTGAAAACCACAGGCTAGAATCCTCAGCAACAGTAGCATCTTTGTCCCAAATCAGAGCTGAAACTACCATCACGATTTCACCCCATTGTTTGCAAGATCCCTAGTGGGTGTGGTTTAAAAATTTTTAATAACCAAGAATTTGCTCAGTTATTGGCACACTCTGAACCATGGTTTTGAGACAATCTATGAACTCACTAAAATGTGTATCATATGCATGAGCTTTGTAAAGGGTCAGGAGCCGAATACCTCTATCACGATGTTACTAGCACCCTCTGCTGGACTGACATCCACCTGCATGCCCCCAGCCAGTGGCTGGATAAAGTTCTTACTCAGATGGGTTCACCTCACAATCCTATATCTTAAACCGCCTCAGGCTTCTGCCTCTTGAAAACTATTGAGCCTTGCATGTACTTGAAGGATGGATGAGTCAGACATGATTGAGAACTGACAAAAGAGCCTTGATAATGCTTCACCTTTGTGACCAACTCTTAGATTCAAAAATTAAAAAAAAACAACAACAAAAAACCCTTGGTAACATTGTCAATATCAAGAACCTGTTTACGATGTTACATTCTATTGTAAAATCAGCTAAACTGCATACTTTCAGCAGGACTTTTGGTGTATAGAGAAGAAGGGATGGCCAAGCCAGGCACAAATTATCTATTCGAAAAATGGTCTTAAGAGATTCTTTCGTGTTTGGCATTTTAAGGTCATCGTTTGGCAGAAGTTTAGCATTAATAATCTTTCTAAAATGTGCTTTTATCAGGTTTAGAACCTATGTTGAATCTTCTTTTCATGGGTTTTCATAATATTTTAAAACTATTTGTTTAGTAATGGTTTTTGTTTGCTTTTTAAGTAAAGGTTAATCTTGATAAAAAAACAAACCCACAGACTAAAAGAAGATATAAACAGAATAGATAGCTTCCTGGAATAGTATGCAGATTGTGTAAATATCATCTGTGAGTCAGTGAGCTAAAGGCAGCCCAAAACAAAGGAATAATAATATGAACAAGCAATTAATAGAGAAAAGAAAACCAGGAGTCAACTAGCATTGGAAAAGATGCTCAATCTTGCTAGAAATCACGTTAAAACCACAGGGAGGGACGCCTGGGTGGCTCAGTCCGTTAAGCGTCTGCCTTCGGCTCAGGTCATGATCCTAGAGTCCTGGGATCAAGTCTCTGACTGCCGCTCCCCCTGCTTCTGCTCTCTCTCTCTCGGACAAATTAATAAATAAAATCTTAAAAAAAAAAAAACAAAACCACGGTGAAATACCATTCACATGGATGAAATTGTCAAGCATGAAAACAATACCAAGTGTTGAAGTGTTGATGTGGGTGGAACATTGGAAGCTCTCATATAAAGATGGTGAGGATATAAATTTAGCATTTATTAAAGTTGAAGATATGTCTACAGTACAACCCAGCTATTCTGTTCCTAGGAATATATTTGAGAAATTCCTGCATATGTACATAGGAAACATAAAGGAGTGTTCAAAGCAACTTTGTTATAATAGCCAAAAATTAAGGTAAAAAAACCCTTGACTGTCCATTAACAGGGAGAATGAGTAAACTGGTACTTTCATACAACAGAAGATAGTTGTGAAAATGAATGAATTAGATCTCCACATAGGAGTATGGAAGAGTCTCATATAGAGTATTAAGCAAACAAAAAAGGGCAAATCACAGAGGCATAGTTTAGCACATACACATAAGAGGTTGAGCACATGCAAAACAGTACTGCATATTGCATGCAGATACTATGAGATTTCTTTTTTTATGCGGGGCTCGATCCCAGGACCCTGGGATCATGACCTGAGCTGAAGGCAGATGCTTAACGACTGAGCCACCCAGGCGCCCCGATACTACGAGATTTCTTAATCTAGGGAGTAGGTGCTTGTTGCTCATTACTTTATCCCTGTGATAATATGGCAGTTGAGTTGTAGAGTAACAGTAAGTTATTCCTTTTCTGGGAAGACTTCCCAGAGGTAGTGATTGTGTAAGCTGGATGGTGAAAAATGAACCTGGGTTTTCTAAGGAGAATTCATGCATTGAAATTAATGTACTAAAGTGGATTCTTTGGTTCACAGAAAAGCTGCTCCAATATTCACTTAGGACCTTTTGAGTTATTTAATACGTAATTCTAAAAAACTGAGTTGGCTTGTAATCCATGGCAGATTAGATTGCCGAGGCATATACACAGGTAAATGAGAAATGACAGCCAGCTGTGAGGTATAAAGGCAGGGAAAACCACCAAATGCCTGCATAAGAATTAAAACTAAAAGTAGTTTAAGACTAACTCTAAAGGCAACGAATCTTATGTGTCCTGGTAACTCCAGATAGCAAGCTGTACACTACATTGATGATGACCCCAGGTTACCCAGATGTTTATGTCTCAGTTCAAGAATTCAGGAATATTTATGATATGTATTTGAAACATGATTCATCAATTTTTTAAAAAAGATTTGGAGTGTAAAGGAAACCATTTTTCTGTTATGCAAAATTAACCTCTTTGGAATAGCACATTTCTAAAGTATGCCTAGTAAGTAATGCATTTCTATATTCCACTTATTCAGCATACATTCCTGGAGCAATTACTGTGTGCTAGCCGTGATGTTGACACTGGCCATACAAAACCAAATCAGATCCTTCATTATCTCATTCGCTAATACAGTGCCTCCTATATGATGTGTTTATGTATTTAGGCTTAGGAAAAGAAGAAAGTGCTAATCTGGCTGTGTGATCTCTGCTGTACTCATACTGTTTTGAAAATTACAAAAATTAAAAGTGTAAATAACTAAAAACTATTGGATTTAAAACTTCAGTTGAGAAGGGTGGTAACAATATATGCTTTTATGAATTTCACATAGGCTTCTTGCAATATGTATTAAAAGATTTTGAAATCTCTTTAATTATGTAATCCTAATTCTAAAAATTTGTCTTGAGAAAACAAAGAAAACTAAGCAGAATGCTTTTAAATGATGTTTACCTGGCATTATTTGTAGTAATGAAAACTCTAAGCATCCAGTTAGTAGGGAATTGGTTAAATTATGTTATATTCATCCATCAGAATTCCAATTAGAGAATATTTAATGACCTAGAAAAATGCTTATACTATGTTGGCGAATTACAAAAAAAACCCCCAAAACAAAACAAAAAACCGGCTGAAGGCAGAGATGCCAAAACACTAAGCGACTATTTATGGTAGTGGGATTATAGGTAATTTTCTTTCTCCTTTTTATTCCTTACTCTATTTTCCAAATTTTCTACAGTAAACATATACTAACTGTTATAACTGCAAAAAATCAAGCGCTATTTATAAGATAGCACATATTTTCCATACTAGAATATATTTTTTGAAATGTATTTGTATCTTGGAAGATCATTATTGACCACAGTGGTTCTTTTGTGGATACTGTCAATAACCAAGGCTTGAACTTTGGTTAAAGCCACTATAATATAATTTACCATTTATGATTATATTAACTCATTAAAAATGGCATTTTTAGGCATGTTCTTGTCTCTCAAATTAAAGAAATAAACGGGAGCACATGTCACTAGAGCCCATAGAGAAGTACTCACAGAGATGAGAAGGAGAAGCTGCAGGTAAATAATGCTCTCTTTTGCTCATGACTTTGCAGTTCCTCAGTGGGTAGTGCACTTCCACGAAGACGCTGCTGTGCGTATATCACCATTGGAATGATATGTATTTTCATTGGAGTTGGATTAACTGTGAGTATTACTCTACTCACTGTTAGAATTCTTTCTTCTCAACTTTTATCAGTAGTAAATGATGAGGCCTGGGACAACCTTCAGGGACCCTCAAAGAGCCTGCCTCCCTGGCATCCCAGTCCCAGAAGCTTCTGAAGGACTGTGGGCAATCTGAAGCCCAATCCACGGACCTGTTTTTAATGGAGCTTGACCATCCTGTGAGATGGTGTTTTGGGACTCCTCTAAAGGTCCTTGACATTGGGGGCTTTACCACCATTTAACAAAAGCCCATTGTTTTTATTTAGTGCCATACCAAAGCAAAAGCAATAGTCAGTCAGCTCTGGAGGTCTGAAAAACCGTTCTCTTTATGCAAGTTAAGCACAGATTTATCACCATTATGGGGATGGCTTATTTTTAGAGGAGACTGAAGCTAAGTAGTTGGCACTGGGGAGTATTCTCTCCCAGGAGAAGGAGGAGTTACTGATCTATTTTGCTCCCATTGACTTCCCATTCTCCTTTGTCCAACCTGGTCCCATATTATTAGAAACACCCATCTTGTATCATACAACACTAAGGAGTTTAGATTACAGATTTAATTACTTATAGAAATAACATGTTCAAATGGGCTTTTTTGTTTATTTCATAAAAATTATATTAATATAACTAGCGGTATTATCCTACTAAATTTTACTCTGCTAGTGATAGTCAACAAATTCATCAACTCATATTTCATAGGAATATTGTGGCCTCAGGGATATATTTTATAAAAATCACACGTAAAACAACACAAGCTTTTTAAGCAAATATTTGCTTGAAGTTTTTAATCTTTTGTTGTTATATTGCTTTTTATTTTAGGTTGGCACCCAAGATTTTGCAAGGCGATTTCATGCAACCTATGTTTCTTGGGCAATTGCTTATCTCTTAGGTTTGATCTGCCTTATCCGAGCTTGTTATTGGGGAGCCATAAGAGTGAGTTACCCAGAACACAGTTTTGCATAAGCTTGCTTATAATTCAGTGCTGCTGGTGAGAGTATCTAGCAGTTCTTGATAAGCTACTCTGGACATCTTTGAATCATTCATCCTAATGGATTCCATTCTGGTTTCTGTATTAAGTTTCAAGACTTTGGGAGTATTTTATGAACAAATGCTCATTGCACTACATTATATGCAAATAGTTTGTTTTGCTGCTAGGTTTTCAGGCTCCGAATAATAAAACTGTGTCTTCATGTTCTTTTACATCTCTTAAAGATATTTTTGGATTTGTCACCAAACATTACATATAACATCACCCTTCCATTATTTTTAAGTCAGTTATTCCATTACTTGCTGATCTGTGAGTATTCCCAAGGAGTGTTTATAAATGTTTCTACAATAGCTTCACATTTGTACTCACATTTTAATTAAACGGTATCAAAATTGCTTGCTTTAAAATCTAAGCAATATGCATTTTGCTTGAACTGCTTACTGTAACTTTAACCTAAGATCATAGTGACCTTATTCAGGAAAAAAAAATTGAGTGTACCTTCAAAGACTTGACATTCTTGTCAGATAAAAACCATTTCTAGATACTGTATGCTTGTTTTTTGTTGTTTGTAGAAAGATACAATATTTTGGTAGTAATTTAAAATACAAGAATGAAATATTTATTTGTCCACAGTTGGAGATAATGTTGGATAAGTGTTTTTTCTCAAAGATCACAGGACTTTTGTCTTTCATTTTTGTCTGCTTTTTTATTTACTAATTATAAAAGTTCTAGTCTAGATTTATGAAATTTAATGTTAATCAGCTGTATGTTTTCCTTTATAGATCTTGGAGGAAGTATTTCACATAACATGTTTTATAATACTTAACCATTTAAACAAAGATATATTTACACTGGGTTGCCCCCCTTTGCATTAGATCACGGTAAATTTTTCTTATTGGGCCAATTATAGACTACTTATATGAGAAGAGAGCCTATGACATTTTACACTAGCTAAAATGTTGAGATTAGAGGTATTTACTCTTACCATTCTTCTCAAATATAGCTGGTCTGATAGTTACCCAATTTATTCAAGAAAGTAGATCAAAGACAAAAAGCAACATAGTTTTCTAAGAATTCACTAGGATTTAAGGAATCAGCTCTTGCACTGCCCGTCTTTGCAGTTTTGAAAAAGAAATTGCTTAATTGAGAAATAATGTTCTAAAGCCTTTAATGTAGTAGAATTAAGATAAAGAGATAATATGAGTAAATTAATTGGCTATTCCAGAGATAAGAGTAATAATTTAAATTATTTATGTTCCTGACTAGTATAAAAATGTACTCATCAGAGAATTTGGAGCAAAATACTTGTAAACTTCAAAGAGTAAATGATAAATGTCTAAATGCAGTAGCTCAGGATTATATGTACCTTAGAAAATACACTAATAAAGATTATTGTTCAAAACTACCTTGTTATATTCCATTTTTTAAAAATAAGATCGTGTTTCCAAAATTGCCTTGAGTTATTCCTCTAAAGGAGTTTTCATGTTTAAGAACATATATAATGTTTCTTTATATAATATTCACTTATGTTTTTTCTAGTATTTTCATGGTTTCATTTTAAAAGTACAGATTTTAAATCTCTTTGTAATACTTTTGATGTAAGGTATGAAATAAGAATCTAATTTATTTCTTAATGGTTAGCTATTTGTAACAGCATTATATATCGAATAATCCAGTCTTTTCCCACTAATTTGAAATCCCACATTAAATTATATGCTGCATGATCATTTTCCTTTTGGACTATAATTCCATGATAGCAGGAACTTTGGTGGTCTTGCTCACTGCTTTATCTTCAGCATTTAGAACAGTACCTGCATTTGTGTTCAATAGATATTTGTTGCATGAATGAATAAATGATTGAATGAATTGGTATGTTGAATTCTCATCCCTTGGATTTGGCCTTTATATTTTGTTACAGAACGTATGGGTGAATATTTATATAATCTTTTGTTAAGGAAAAACTTCCTAAGTAAAACCCCAAAGCAGAAATCATACAAAAGGATTGATAGATTGTATGATAAAAAGAAAAAAAAAACTTCTGTGTGAAAAAAATCATGAGCAAAGCCAAAAGATAAACTGTATTTCCAAAATAGTAGAGAGAATTAATCTTTTTAATACGGGAAGGAACTAAAGGCATGAAAAATCAATTCATGAAAGAAGAAATACAATAAGTAAAAACATGAACTTCTTTTCAATTTACTAATAATCAAAGAATATAAGTTAAAACAGAGATACTATTTTTTTACCCAGCATATTAACAAAGAATAAAAAAGAGTGATTAATCCCTGTAATGCTGAAGATAAGAGAAAGCACACACAAAAACACAGTCTTTGACATAGTAATTCTGTTTCTAGGAATTTATCCTAAAGGTGTTCTGGATAAAAGAACAAATATATTTGTACAATGATGTTTATCACATTTTTGTTTATAATAGGGATTAAAATTAAGAAGTCCAAAAATTAAGCAAGAAGGGATAAGTGAAATAAATTATGGTACACTCATAATACGAAATAGTAGGTAGTCATTAACAAGATGATGAAATTTCTCACCTAATTGAATTGGCAATGGTTCACAAAATATTGTGTGACAAAATCATATTACAAATCAAAATGTACAGTGTAATCCACTTTTTGAAGAAAATGATTTTATGTGTATGTGTTCACAAAACTAGGGAAAATTGAACACTAAAATATTAAGAGGGGTTATCTCTGGGTGATAAAAGATAATAACTTTTTAAAAAATTTCTGTACTAGATTAACAGTTGGAAGGGTTAGGTTTTGCTCTTGATGAATAGATAAGAATGTTACGTGATGATCACATCAATATTTGTTACATTTTTATTTAGATCCTTGAAGAGCTTTAAAATAAATTTATTAAATCCAAACCAATGCATTTGATTCATAAAACCTTAAGTTTTAGAGTTAATATATAATTAAGCTTAGTCTTATATGAATTAACATAAATTTTTAATTAATTAAATCCAAATTTTTGAGACTTTATACCCAGTTTTATTTAAAGTAGAGCATTCCTTCCAATGCCTGGTACAGATATGAAACACAGAAAATGCTGGGAAAATGTTATTTGAAAGAATACAACATAGTCACTAATCAGAAAAGGATTTTTTTTTTTGTCCCTGCTGTACAAAGTAGTAAAAAATGGTCTAGTTCTTCTTAGAAAAGAGAGAAAAATGGAACCACGCTCAGTTATTCTTGAGTAAGTCATTTGTGAGAGTACGTGTCATTTAGAAGATCCGATAACAAGTGTCAGGTACAGTGCTGGTCTCACAGCGCATGCAGTTTAACAGCCACAGGAAGCCTAGAAAGCACGTATTCTTTTTTTTAAATTAATCAATTAGTTATTTATTTGAGACAGAGAGAGAGAGCACAAGCAGGGGGAGTGGCAGGCAGAGGGAGAGGGAGAAGAAGGCTGAGCAGGGAGCCCGATGCGGAACTGGATCCCAGGACCCTGGGATCATGACCTGAGCCGAAGACTGACGCTTAACGGACTGAGCCACCCAGGCGCCCAGAAAGCACATATTCTTGTTTCTGTTTTACTAGAAGAAATTGAATTGTCACTCTCATAGTTCTGAAAAATTGGGTTTTAAGTAGCACAGGCATCTGCATTCAAAACAAGCACTCCCAGATGATTTTGATGTAGGTTTTCCTGGATCATACTCTTGAGAAACACCACACTATACCGTGCACATGATGTTTGCGTCGACTTTCACTCGCATTCACATTTTCTTATGTAGAAAAAGCTTGGTATTTCAGTAAATAATGACATTTTTTTGTTTAGCTTTTGTTTCTAGTTTTGATCTAGCGATACTTGTGCTTGTATGTTATGAAATTACAGCCTTTCCATGTGCACTGTCTCACAAATTGCTATAAAGTCTAAACTTGCGGGGCACCTGGGTGGCTCAGTCGTTAAGCGTCTGCCTTCGGCTCAGGTCACGATCCCAGGGTCCTGGGATGGAGCCCCAGATCGGGCTCCCTGCTCGGCGGAGAGCCTGCTTCTCCCTCCCCACTCCCCCTGTGTTCCCTCTCTCGCTGTCTCTCTGTCAAATAAATAAATAAAATCTATAAAAAAAAAAGTCTAAATTTGCAGTTATTTGATGTTTTGGTGCACATGTACATATATATATATATCTATATCTATCTCACACACACACACACACACACACACACACACTAAACCTGAAAAAAAACCCTGGTGTTTACTTATCTGCCTTACATATATGTTAATATTTAATCTCTATGTCATAGTTATGACTCTACCCTTGAAGAAGGTCAGAAAGGCTAAGTAATTAAAGGTCATTCAGTGTATATGTCACGGAGCCAGTTGGAATCCAGTAATCTGCCTTCAAAATTTATCTGCTTTCCACTACAGCATGAGATTTTATTGTGCTGTGCTTTGTACAGAAAAACTTTTGAATTTTGTGCCCCCTGCTGTTCATTGTCTATAACTCATTTGTGGAAAGAAAATTGAAAAATGTTTGCCCTCAGTATTCATTTCACAAAGAATAGAATACTACTTTTTAAATATTTTTATGAATTTGATATTATATCCAGCTTTATTTTAGAGCATTTTATGTAACAAAATATTATTACATGTATTTAGTTTCTTTTTTATAGTTACCATAAAATCATAAGACTGCTAGGAATATTACATATTAAATATGAGGAAATTGACATACAACAAATTTTAATGTAAATTCTTTTTCTTGTGATAGAAATATTAAAATGATTGGTAGATAGCACCAAGTGCTAAAAAGGATCTGTAAAGGTTTTTCATTTTAAAAATGATTTTACACGCTCAGTTACAAATTTAATGCTAAGATTATGTTTGGATAAATATACATATATTTGACTTGAGGTGGAATACTATGTGAAAAACAGAAAAATAAAAAGCCTATATTCTTTTGGGAGCCCATAGACTAAGGATACATGTCTAAAAAGTGAGTATGGTTTGTAATTTGACAGTTGAGAATCTTTGATCTACCGCACAGGTAGTCTTTTCAGTTTTGTCAGTGTAACTAAGCTCATCTAAGGTAGCTTGCTAAATAGAAAGTGATTACACACATTCTTGACAAATTTTTAAATTTACCTTGAGTGGCTTATGCATATGTATAGGTACTAATGGTTGGTTGTAGAGCTACTGAAAGTTCCCAGTGTTCAAATCATTTTTTTCTGAAAAACCTTGCTGCCATGTCTGATATTTCTACATCAGATATACCTTTGGCTGAAGATATTGGATATTTAAATAATTATGGAGAAAATGTGTTACATTTTCATTAGTTTTTAAGCTTTTAGCAAGGGTAAGGTTAGGATATTTGTAGAGAATTCCTTAGCTTATGCAATGCTTTATTTTTTCCTGGCTTCTTGAACACCTACCTGCCTTACTCCTTCCTTTAAAAGTTCCTCTCTACCTACCATCTGCCATCTACAAATCTCCTTTCACTTCCCCCCATAATCAATGCAGACTTCAGTACCTGGTTTTCATTCTTACCCTATGCCATTGATTTAAATGTCAACGTGAATGGACTAATACTGTGGTCTGGACTCAGTTCTGATTCCATCAAGTCTAATGACCTTCCATTCCACTTCTGCTCATCATCTCTAGCTGTATCGTGGGTGCTCACACTTAGAAGCACTCCATCTCTGAACTCTTATGCTCAGATATCCACTCTCTGGACCTGGACCTCCTCTATCCTTACAAAATCTTCACTCTCTTTGTACCACTAATTCATGGAGTATCACCTTCAGCACTTCGTTTTTAAATTATCTTCCAGTCTATCGTCTCCTCTATTTCCAACGAATCTCACAATCACACAGATTAATACCACTATAGATTTTTAATTTTCTTTTTTTTTAAAGATTTTATATATTTATTAGAGAGAGACAGAGTGAGAGAGAGAGAGAGAGAGCATGAGCAGCGGGGAGGGGCAGAGGGAGAGGGAGAAGCACACTCCCCGCTGAGCCAGGAGCCCTATGCGGGGCTGGATCCCAGGACCCTGAGAACGTGACATGAGCCAAAGACAGATGCTTAACTGACTGAGATACCCAGGTGCCCCAGATTTTTAATTTTCACCTTCAGCTGCTCCTCAGCATTGTTTACCTATCTCCAGCAGTTTCTGCAAGTTTCCCACAGATACTATTTGAAAACTTCAAAATCCTAAAACCCCTTATCATACTTTCCACAGCAGACCCCCTTCCTCTGATAGCAGATGATTTCACCTATTCTTACCTCTGTCCCTTCCCTCTGCCTACACTCTAGATCCATCCCAGTCCCTCATTCCTCAGGAAACTCACAATATCTTTTCATTATTTCTATCCATCTGGCTGCCCACATCAATAACTGGCATCACCATTTTGACTTCTCATTCTCACACCCTTTACAGTCCATCAGGTCTCCTTTATTCTCTCAAGTTCATGCACTTCTCTTTCTTCATGTCCAGACCTACCTTACTTGTTACCAACACTGCCGGGGTTACCTTAGAAGTCTCTAAACTGATCCCTCTGCTGCTGTTCTTGCTTTGCCTGCTCCCTGTCCCTCTCCTCAGTCCATCCTAAACTGTTACTTAGGTGATTCTTTTCCAAATGTACATATGATCTTTTCATATCTAAAGTCCTTCAATGTCTCTCTGAAGACTCATCCATCTGTAGCCTAATACTGAACCACTTACTCAAGCCGTGCCTCATATTTTGTGTTTCTGCAGTGTTGAATTACTAGTGTTTTTTGTATTCACTGTTATTTCATTTCTGTATGCCTTTGGACATGTCCTTTTCCCTGCAAGGCATATCCCTAAGTTGGGATATAACTTCTTTTTATCCTTGAAAATTCTGCTCAGGCGTTACCTCCTTTAGGAACCCTTCCATGATCCCTCTTCTCTCTGTCACCCCCAATAGAATTATTTCTTTCCTTGTACTACTTCTGTTCCAGGTATATACTTCTAACTACTACCCTTATTTTATTAGTTCATAGCTTTAAAAAAAAAATACTATTTCAGAGACAGAGCATGAGCAGGAGGAGGGGCAGACGGAGAGAGAGAATCACAAGCAGGATCCCCACAGAGCACAGAGCCCAGACCAGGGGCTTGATCTCACCGCCCTGAGATCATGACCTGAGCCAGACACTTAACCGACTGAGCCACCCAGCGCCCCTAGTTTATCGGTACTCTCAAGACTATCATTCTTTTCTTGCTGATTTTTCCTCATACTGTCTTATTTCAGTTTGTCTTTGTATCCTCAGTGCCTGGCACCTAAGAAGCATAGATATTCAAAACTTTTTTTCTGAAATGAGCTGAATAGGACCGAGTCTCTATTACGGTTTTCTAATGAATTGCTCTAATGATTATATGAGTGTGTGCGTCTGTGTGTATGCATTCCTCCATAAAATGCTTTGTAAATGTTTGTGGAATAAGTGAATGAGAGGCAGACTACTGGCAGGAGGCTAGTAAGGAGATCATTTGGTAAACACTAGATAATGCTGTCTCTTCAGCTTTTCCCAACTCCCCAGGCTTTCAGTAGCACCACCCAGGCACACACACGCCATGGGAGTGACTTCATCAGAACAATCAGCTTAATGAATTGGAATTGTCTGTTTGTGAACCTGCACCCTCACTAGACAGTATATTTCATGAGAGCAGGTAATCAGTTTGTGTGTGTTATGTGTGCTCATACAGGGTTTTATTAACTAAAAGGAAGGTACTGTGAAGGTCAAGTCAAATAAGATATGAAAATATAATGGTAACAAAACCTCTACTTACAATTAATAAAAGACTCATTTAACTGTGAATTATCCTTCTAGTTGGGATTCCTATTTCCACTCTTGCTTTTCCTGAATCCATTCTCCAAATCTTTTTTAAACCAAAGTAAATATTTAATTAGAGAGAAGCAACATAATGGCATCCAGTTACAAATTTTAAAAAGCTGACGAGTACCAGCTATTAAAATAATCCATAAAAGTATTTTAATTAACTGCCTGAACCATCCCTATTTTTCCCTGTATTTTTACTTTTATGTATTTTGATTGCCTTTTCATTTGACAATTTTGTAATGCATTTCCTTTGAGAGTAAATAGTTTGGTATTTTCTCCAGCATAGTTAATAAAAATTTATTTTTTATTATTGAAAATTTAGAAAAGTTAATTTCAATAAAAACTTTAGTCATGTCAGTTTTTAGTATTACTAAGTTTGGGGAAACCTGTTGAGTTTATGTGAGCTCAATGATTTTGGAGCATTTTAAGTTTTTCCTGATCAGTGTGATTAACCTTAAATATTCTTTTTTTTTTAAAGATTTTTCATTTATTTATTTGAGACAGAGAGAACGAGAGAGAGAGCACATGAGAGGGGGGAGGGTCAGAGGGAGAAGCAGGTTCCTTGCTGAGCAGGGAGCCCGATGCGGGACTCGATCCAGGGACTCCAGGATCATGACCTGAGGCGAAGGCAGTCGCTTAACCAACTGAGCCACCCAGGCGCCCCTAACCTTAAATATTCTTGAAAGTACTCGCTAACTTGTCAAGCTGTTGTTGTTGAAGTGTATTATCTAGATTATCCTTGTAGATGCCACTATCTCTTGCCAAGGCAACAAGAAATTTTCCAAAGTTTCAATGTATTTATAGGATTCATTCTTCTTCAATTGATTACTAAATAATTTTGGACTCTATAACTTCTATTTAAATTTTACTTCTTCCTCTCAATGGATTACTGATTTTGGTTTGGTCTAAAATTTTTTTTCTTCAAATTAACTTTTTTGTCACAATAATTTCTGTTGATTTCATATAGTAATATATACAAAATAATTTTATTGTATAACATATATATAATTGTATATGTTATATTGTTAAGTATTTTCTTGAAGAAGAAAACTTCTATTTTGACAAGATTGATGAGAACTGACAAGTGTAGGTTTTCTACATCTGGGGATTGGAAGGATTTATTGACTCCATTGTCCACAGACCTCTGGTGCTTCATGCCGTAGGACATGCCAGATGAGTTGTCTCAGTGGGGGTAGGAGTGTTCCTGGAAGCCATTTCTACATCTAAATAGCAATAACTTAACTATGTATGAAAGTAATTCTGAAACCACACCTTTTAAAATGGTAAATCCTATCATCTTACTGCCCCACTGTCCCATTGGTCTTGTAGTAAAATTTAACCTCCCTACTGGACCCTACAAAACCTTGTATGTTTTTGGCTTTTCCCTTCTCTCCATACTCATCTTTAATATTCTCTTCTTACTTTCTCTTGCCTAGCCATACTGATCTCACATCAGTTTCTGAACTTTGCCAAATTTTGTTTTTCTTGCTCCAGGGCATTAAGATCTCTTCTGCTTACCTAGACAAATTTTTCCTATTTTTCATGAGCTTTAAGGTGTACTTAGATGATCCCTTTCAGAGAGGCATTCCTTCTTTAGTTACCCCATTCTAGACAAGCTTTCTTTGCCTTTAAACAGCATCCTTTGGAGGTTACCTGTCTTTTGAGTTCTCTAAATACTTCTTTCCAGATGCATACATTTTCTCAATCAGCATCCCTTTCCTAACATTCCATTTTATCCATTATATGCCTATGACATATGTGTGTATGTGTATAGGCCTATATATGTATGGGTATATATTTTCTGAATTTATAAAATAGCTGATACAGGTCCCACTCTGAATTCATCATTTCCCTCCCCAAATCTGTTCTGCCTGTTGCATTCCCTACCTTATGTTACTACCACCTATTCACTTGTTTGCCCAAGTCAGAAACTTAGGAGTCACCTAGATTCTTCTCAGTCACCCCTTCCATCCAATCTGTCACTAAACTCTGTTGATTTCACTTCAGCAACATCTCTTAGATCTTCACTCCTTGTATGACATAATTTCTTACTGGAGTTACTGCAAACGCCGCCAAGGAAGCCGTCTTGTAGCCTGTTTCATATTGCTCTACCTCCCTGCCCTCAAAATTCTGCCCTCCACACTGCTGTGAGGATGATCTTTCAAATATTCAAAAAGACAAACTATGAGAAATTTAAGACCTAATTCACGTCCACTTCTGTTTCATTTCCCCACTATCGGTTCCCTAACTCCAAGTACTCCACACTAGACAAGTTATCTTTTCCTTTTGCACTTCCTCCTTTCCTCCCTTCCTCCCCCCTTCCCTGCCCCCCCCCGCCCCCCACGCCAAATGCAACACACCAGCCCCGCACTGCTCTGAAAACGACTCGGACATCCCAGGCCTAAGGGTCGGGTTAGGCATCCCTTGCACTGTGCTCCCAACCTGAATCTGTTCCTGTATCACAGTCCGGAGCACGGCCCACTGAACTGTCAGCTAGCCCGGGCGCCCAGCGGGTTGTGAGTCCTGTGATGGCAGGACTCTGCTGTTCTCCCGGGTAGCACCCCCATGTCCCCGCAGCCTACTGCTGGCACCCACACGGTACACTCCAAGAACAGAAAAAGCGTGAATGAAAGAAAAAAGGTGAAGACTGAAAATAAAGGATTCGGATGGTGTTGCTTCAACTAATCTTGGTCTTTGGGGACAGCAGTCTGAGATAAAGTATTCCTGCCTGGTAACCGTTTCTGACAGCCGGAATCCTAGCACCGACCGGGGCTCCTCGGCGGCGCGGAGAGCCGCCCGCGCCGTCGGGGCCGGCCGGCAGCTCTGACGCGGGAGGCACTCAGTCGTCAGCACACGGGCAGCCGGGCTCACAGAGGCTGCCTCGCTCACAGTCGCTGCCTGGAGCCCGCCGCTCGCCCTCCCCCTCTCGGGCAAGCAGGGCCGCCGACTGGGATCCCGAAGGCTGTTCATGCGGGCGCGCCCAGTACGGGGCGAGCCTGCCAGCACCTCGGAGAGGCCACCCCCGGTCTCCTCCGCACGCAGCGCGGCTGCCGGAAAACCCGCGCCGTTCCCGCGCGCCCAGTACGCCCTGAGAAGCACGCGCGCGACCAGCTTAACGGTTCTGGCCCCGCGGGCCTGCGGCCGCGCTCGAGGCCAGCCACCCGAGGCCCCGCCCCGCGCCCGCCTCGCGCCC